GCCTGGAGCGGGGAGAGATTCCAGAACGTTCCTGAGGGGCTCCGGGAGAGCTGGGGAGGGACCCGGGAGAAGGGCTGGAGGGACGGGACACAGGGAATGGCTTCCCTCTGGAAAAGGGAGGTGGAATTGGGGAAGGAACCCTTGGATGGGAGGGAATGGGATGGAATTCCCGGAGAAGCCGTGGCTGCCCCTGGATCCCTGGGAGTTCTGGGGCTGTGAATCCAAGGGGAACCCCGAGCCCTGGGACTGCAGAAATTCCTGGAATCGTAAAATCACGGAATCCTGGAATGGTTTGTGTGGGAAGCTCCTCCCATTCCAAAGGCAGGGACACCTTCCCTGGCCCAGGTGGATCCAGCCTGGCCTTGGGCACTTCCCGGGATGGGGCAGCCACAGCTCCTCTGGGAATTCCATCCCATTCCCTCCCCGCCCTCCCAGCCAAGGGTTCCTTCCCCAAATCCACCTCAATCCCCCTTTTCCAGGGGGAAGCCATTCCCTGTGTCCCGTCCCTCCAGCCCTTCTCCCAAGCCCCTCTCCCGCTCTCCTGGAGCCCCTGGAATGTGCTGGAAGCTCTCCCTGGGTCCCTCCCTGCTCCAGGGGAACATTCCCAGCTCTCCCAGCCTGTCCCTGGAGCAGAATCCTGGAATCCTGGGATGCTCTGGGTGGGAAGGGACCTTAAGGGTCCTCCAATCCCACCGAATTCCAAAGGCAGGGACACCTTCCATGGCCCGGGTGGCTCCCACCCGTCCCGGGGCACTTCCCGAGGGCAAATTCCCTGAATTCTGGTGCTGCACAAACCCCCGAGGGCTTGGAAAACCTGTGGGATCGGGAGAACAAATCCACGTCTGGCCGGGGGACGTTGGACGCCGGGAATGCCGGGAATGCCGGGAACCTTTTCCAGGACAAGGCACAATCCCGGGGGGCGGAATTTTGTCCGGGTTTATCCCGGATTTGGGGGCTTTTTCTTTTCCCGCTCCAGATCTTCGGGAATTGTTGTTTTTGTGGGGTTTTTTGTTG